CCCGTATCATTTATTGCTTAAGAGCATTGGATTCTGCGCGAGGCCTTGAGAAAAAATGAATATTATCTATTCAGACTGTGACATCTTTCTATTTTTTTAATCTCATGAAGGCAGACTGGAATAGAAATCAAAGACTTTGGGCGGAGTTGGAGGAACGGGGTTGCCTTTCATTCAGTCATCCATGCTATACGGCCAGAGCTAGTGGACTTGGAGAGGGTGAAAGGAAGGTCCAACCGAGAAAACCTGGAGGAGGCTTTCACCATTGCTGAAACGGAGCTGGGGATCCCCAGGTTACTAGATCCTGAAGGTACATTCAATAGCGTTTGCCCAACTCAGTAGACTTGTATGTTTTACACACAGAAATTACACATGATTTTCATGACTCTCTGATAGGACAGAGAATTTGAGAACAGCACAAATATAAATAATATCTCCCTGTATTGATTTTCATTTTGAAAAATATTTACTGCTATATTTGGTAACACACTACAGCTCTATCGCTCCAAATGACACTTTGATATCGTGGCTCTATATTTGGGGGGGAGGTCTATATTTGGCCAGATGTAGTTATGCAAGCTAGATAGTCACTTGTTATTAAGTGCCACGTCTGTGTTTTAAATGCTACCCACTCACCGCAATTCTGAAACTTACCTATTTTGTGTATTTTATTAATTAGAAGAATGACTGAATAGCCAAATAGTATCTCAGGGTTTTGATCAATTAATGTTGAGATTTCAGTGAAACAAGTACTACTTTTCTAAAAGCTCTTAAAATGTCATCTTTATGAATTATACAATTTCTACCATGTATGATTCAGACTACATTTGTCCCCCAAAAATATTTCTAAATGTCAATTATGTTTTTCTTCTGCCTTTAGTATAGTGTTTTTGGTAGATTGGCTAGATTTCAAAGCTTGTATCATTATAATCTAATTAACATAAATTAATTTGGTTTTGGTTTTTCCAGATGTTGATGTGGATAAACCAGATGAGAAGTCTATTATGACCTATGTAGCCCAGTTTCTGAAACACTATCCTGACGTCCACAATACAGGCACTGATGGGCTAGAGAATGATGTAAGTATTGGCTTTCCTTTAAGTATTGATATGCACGCAATGACAGTAACTCAGATATTTAAGCATGCTGTTTCCAAAAAGTTAAATTGTAATGCCTATTTATATTGAGCAACTGAGTAAAGAATAGATATCACCGATTTTGGAGGTGATCGGAGGGAAAGACTTCTCTGATTTGTATGTTGACTATGACAGAAAAGGCAATATTAAGTGCTGGAAATGTAACACTGATAAGTTAAAATTGAGGAAAGATATTGGTGTTGGGAAACATTATTTTAGTAATTTAAGGATGAAAGGCATTTCGTATCCATCTCATCATTTGTGCATCTAGATCTTGAATCCACTGTTCTATTCAATCTGATGAAAACTAATTTTGACTTTTAGACTTTATTATATAAATTACTGTTCACATCACACAGGGCAAATCTGTAAAAGTTCTAACTATTCACCATGGTTAGATTTTTTAGCCTTTCAATATTTAAATAACATTTACATATTTTCAAACTGCTCACATGACATATGCTTATTGTAATAATTAAAAACAAAATTTGAAAAAAAAGAAATTATCTCTGTTCGACCTTCTACAGAGAATGTATTCTAGAAAATAATTTAATGTGTTAGTGTGATATCCAAACATTTCTCTATGTATTTATAGGCACATATAATATTTTAACAAAAATAGAATCACAGTATACATACAATTTTAAATTTCCTTTTCATTGTACAAAACTTTTCAATGTCATTCTCTCTAGGTCTTCTTATATATGTACAGTAATTTATTTATTCAATTTTAATTTTTGGAAATTTCTGATTTTTTGCTGATATTAACAATGCTTCTGTCAACAATTTTTCAATAAAGCATTGTTTTATAGTTCTGTCTTAGAGATGTACCTCCTAGGCTAAAGACTAACAGATTTTTAATGCTTTTTGAAACTTTTTTCTTTTCAAATCCCTTGTAGGAAAGTTTACCCTCTTTTATACTTTAGCTAGTTCACCAGAAAGCCTGTTTTCTCAGGCTTTAACAACAATGGATATTACCGTTTTCCTAATTTGTTAAAAGTAGTAATTTTTTTATTATGGATAATTTATTATAAGGCAAAACAACACCAGGGAAAGTAGTAACAAATGGAATTTTCAAAATGTGTTAAAAACAATCCCTCTGTCTTTATTGCTTACATCTCATCTAGAGTTTTCAGAGCAGCCATATAATATTTTAACAAAAATAGAATCACAGTATACATACAATTTTAAATTTCCTTTTCATTGTACAAAACTTTTCAATGTCATTCTCTCTAGGTCTTCTTATATATGTACAGTAATTTATTTATTCAATTTTAATTTTTGGAAATTTCTGATTTTTTGCTGATATTAACAATGCTTCTGTCAACAATTTTTCAATAAAGCATTGTTTTATAGTTCTGTCTTAGAGATGTACCTCCTAGGCTAAAGACTAACAGATTTTTAATGCTTTTTGAAACTTTTTTCTTTTCAAATCCCTTGTAGGAAAGTTTATCCCATTTTATACTTTAGCTAGTTCACCAGAAAGCCTGTTTTCTCAGGCTTCAACAACAATGGATATTACCGTTTTTCTAATTTGTTAAAAGTAGTATTTTTTTATTATGGATAATTTATTATAAGGCAAAACGACACCAGGGAAAGTAACAAATGGAATTTTCAAAAGGTGTTAAAAACAATCCCTCTGTCTTTATTGCTTAAATCTCATCTAGAGTTTTCAGAGCAGTTTGAGAACACGATGAAGAGCAACAGCAAAAACAAAAGAACAAAATAAAATAGGTTTTTGAAATAAACTCAGAAACAGGTTTGAGGAGGGAAAAGCCCAGGGGAACACAGCCCAAACTTTTCAAATAGGAAAAGGCTTTGCACTAATAGAAATCAGCGACTTCATAAGAGAATTAAGCAGAACCCCTGTCACTGGTTGCTTGGATGAAGTTAATCCGGCATTTGATAGAATTATAGTAGTTTCTTAAAAACTACAGATTCAGGAAACCTTTTTTGTTCCTTGCCAGGATTAGGGCAGAAGCATGGACCACCTGAGTGACTAACTTACCTATGGCTAGCAGAGTAATTGTCCCTACAGACCATCTCAGGAGGCCAAAGCTCAGACTCTGTGCAAATCCCAGCATAGATCTCCAGTCACGTGCTTAGGGCCATTGGGAGATCTCTGGGTTTTTGAGAATATAATCAGGCAGGGGTGCTGCTGTGTAAATGAGAAACTCTAAAGAAAGCACTTTAGACAACACAGCATTGAGAAAACCAGCTTCCCCTCTGATTTTTAAATCTAACGTCTTTATGTTACCCAATTGGATTTATTTCTGATCTGGTTTTAGAGTTCGTAGTATTTTAATTTCTGACATTAATCATCTCTCTGGATGAGTAAATTTGGTGGCTGGGAAAGTCTGAGGAACAAAAGGAGGTGCTTTCCTAATGCTCACGAACAGGAATTTAAAACAAAAACTCTTAGAGACTTGAAACACACACACACACACACACACACACACTCCTGGCATAAGCTTGTTAATGTACTTTACTAAAGAGGCTTTATTTCCCTGAGATCATTCTCATTATCTGAAAAAAAAGTTCTGATTGTTCTTCTAAAAATACCCTCTGTCCCTTCCCTAAAAAGTGGATGCGAGTGATTTCTACAGGGTTATTTTAAAAATTAATTTTGAGAAAAATATATTTTAAACTTTGCCCCTTTTTAATGTGGCATTTGTGAAGTTGGGCATAACCACCTAAAATGATTATTTTGAGTAGAAAAATGTATATTTTCATGATGTAAAGTCATTTAATGAAGCTAAATGACCTCCTAATTCTGCCTCATGAACCATGAAGATTTTATAGACTATCCCTGTGGGGGCTATTGATGCCATCTCTTCAAACACTCAGTACTTGTCTACGCAAGTCTTAGTAAATAGTGTTTTTTTTAATCAATTTTTAAAATATTGGCATCAATATATCTACCAGGTTTCCATTTTTGGTGTAATTGATTTCTATGTCCTCTTTATGAATTTATTTGAATAATTTTATTTAAATTAGATACCATTTTAAATGAAATTTTCTTTCTTGGAATATACACAATAATTTTTCTACCTCAATCAATAAGACAGATAAAGAAACTTTTAGCTAAAGATATTCCTTGGATAATCAGTACTCAATGGTAAATTAAAAAAAAATAGTCCTATTGATCCATGTGTCTCACCAATTAAACGTTCAGTTGTTTATCACTTATTCCTTCTCTCATTGCAACAAATATTACTGGCTGCTTTCAGAAGCACAGCATAGCCTTAATTGTTGATATAGAGACAGAGAGAGATGCATACTCTGATCATATTTTTAGAGAGAATAAATAAATCCACATACCTTTTCTTGACATTGTTCTTTTTTATTTATTATTATTTTTTATTGATTTCAAAGAGGAAGGGAGAGAGAAACAGAAACATCAACGATGAGAATCACTGATTGGCTGCCTCCTGCACACCCGGCCTGTGCCCTGACGGGGAAGCGAACCATGACCTCCAGGTTTACAGTTGACGCTCAACCGCTGAGCCATGCCAGCCAGGCTACATTATTCTTTTAAAAAGTTTAAAATTTCAAAATGCATTTATAAAAGACATTTATAAAATGCATATATTGCCATATATGACTATTACAAATTAAAATGAAAACATCAAATGCCAGAATACTACATTGCCTTATTGGATTCAAACATTTGATACTTCAAAAGTTATGAAAACAAAACAGAAACACACACACAAAAAACTGATGAAGCCCTAGCCGGTTTGGCTCAGTGGATAGAGCGTCAGCCTGTGAACTGAAAGGTCCCAGGTTCAATTCAGGTCAAGGGCACATGCCTGGGTTGTGGGCTCAATCCCCAGTAGGGGGCGTGCAGGAGGCAGCCAATTCATGATTCTCTCTCATCATGGATGTTTCTATTTCTCTCTCCCTCTTCCTTCCTCTCTGAAATCAATAAAAATATATTTTTAAAAAACGATGAAAAACATCTTAAAGTAACTATACCCTTAAAATTAGTATCTATTTATTTATAGACAAATGCTTCCCCATTGTTCTTTTCTTGTTTCCTATATAATTTTGTCCCTGATTTATATTATTTTCCTATATATTATCTTTTCATATTGTTAGGAAATATTTCCAGATTTCCTACTTTTTGCAAATTCTATCCAAAATCTTAAGGTAAGATTTAAGTAATCTTGAATTAGTGACTTCTTTCAAGCATCCTCCATTCCATAGTTAGTTAGCCATTCTTTTGCATGTATCTGCTTTTATATACACATTTATTTTAATACCTTAATTCTGTTGTTTTCTTTTTCTTTCTATTAGAACAAATAACACATGTAATTATTATAGAATGTTAATTACAGTCTAAGCCACTCCCATGGACTTTTCCACTAATCTTTAAATATATAATGACATCAATTAATACCTCTTGAATAACACTTAATAGCACTAATAAAAATGAAACCTTACAGTGATAATATTTGTTTTTATTATATTTGAAATGGAAAATACAAATTAAAGACTTTTTTATATTTTAAATAATTAAGAAGGAAGTCATTAATTGAAATAGGTAAGTATTCATTCAATTTATAATCCTGAGTGAATCGCATCTCTTCTGCCCAATATTGGGTCACATGGTTTAGTAAAGTTCACACGGTTTAGTAAAATGTTCTTGCTGGGAATACACCCAATATACTTTTCTACTTCAACCATTCCCTTGAAGACATTCCCTTTTTGTAAACATTTTCTTAATTAAATTAGTGTGTGTGTGTTTTTTTTTGAGAGAAAAAATAGAGATAATTTTAGTATTCAAATAAAATTAATGTACTTTTACAGAATTCACTCTTGATTTTTATTCTCCAATGAGGCGTGATGGTGGGGAGAGAGAAGAGTTTTCAGAGACAATTGAATGATTGAATATTACGTCTACTCTAGGATCAATCTGGTATCAATCAGCAATTAAATGCACAGTTACTAATAAAATTATAACATCTGCCGGTTCCTAGAGAGAAGACAGGCTAATGCTGAAGGAAACGAAAGTTTGGATAGAGCAATTCGAAAGAGATTTGACAAGGGCACAGATGACAGAAGCAAACTTGCAGGATAAATATCAGGTAATGCATGAAAAAGAGACTGCAGTTTTTAAAAGCTTTGCATGAGTAAGATTCATATATGTCATTTAATCTATGTTTAATATTTCAAGTGAGATGAATGAAAAAAAGTCCATAAAGAAATCATGCGCATTATCTTGCTTGCATGTGATTTAATAATTGTGTTTCTACATAAATAAGTGGTTTGAATTGTGTGGGTCCACACTGTGTATACAGCTCTGAGACTGCGTGACTTTTCCAGAACTCGGAGTCTTATAAATAACCCAGAACACAAATACCTAGTTGTTTTTATAGAAGTCATGATTTTGCAGATGTCACATAACAACAAAAGAAATCCACCAAAAAATGGTTTCAATACCAAATTAAAAAATACTATAGAATAAGTGGAATTGAATACAGGATTGTGCCGTGCATATTTGGAGTGGGCCCATTAATGGGACCAGTTTCTACAGCCACCTGCCTAGTTCCACACGATTGCATTCAGGTGAGGCCAGGCTGGTGGTTGTTTGCCCCAGTCATGTTACACTGTTATTAACTGGACTTGCTTCCAATTTCTACTTCCAAGACACAAAATCATGCGACAGGTTTCCCAATGAAATTGTGACTTATTCTATGCAGCATTGACATTTTCATCATATTTAAGGTAGTGTTGCATTTTAGTAGCAAAGCTATACTATATTGTACATTATATTTCAATCATTTGCACTACAAAAAAGGTATCATGATGTGAGAGTCAACATGGCAAACAATAAAAGATTTATCTATTGCATTAGTGTGTGACTTCATATAACCATATCTATAAAGTGTGCCTGAATTTAGATGGATGATGCCACCGATACGACATTTGATAAAGTTGGCAAAGCGGACAATGTGTAGGATATGCTTTTTTTTTTTGCTTTGAAATTCAATGTAATCTTTTCCCCCAAAAAATAAAATTTTCTGGGACGAGCTCCATTAAAATAAATGATTAAACCAGTAAATTGAGAATAGAAATGCAAGGATGGAGTACATGTACTTATTTGGTCCATTAGTGAGTTTTAGTTTTAGCATAAATTGTCATAAACGAAATTTCAAGTTGTAAAAGTACCTGTTGCACAGGTGCTATTTTAGAAATCAGAACCAAAGGATTAGAAAAGCACAAAGCAGAAACACTCCTCTGGGCCAATGTGATCACCAGTTTTGTGAAATAGGGTTAGAGATCATCTGAAATCTGAACAGAGGGAACATTTCCTTTTGTTTGTGGGTTTGTGTGTCATCAACATTTTCTATCTGTTTCCACTTTCAAACAATAGGGTATTTTCCAGTTTTTCCATGCATAGAATTTTGTGGAATAAAATTGAAGATTGATTTTATGTTTTGGTAATTTTTTATTACATTAAGTTACAGGAATAGGAGTACCTGTGGTAAAATATTGATTCACCATCTCCCCCCAGTGTTCTTTACGTAGATTTACATGTGTGTTCACTCTGAGATTTAGACATTCTTTTAGATGTGTTTGTTACCTGTTAAATTCTGTAGGGCCAGCCTCATGTTCTTTAACATCACTGCACATGTTAGTGGTATTTTCAATTCACATGTGAACATGGCGTCACCTTTTAGGATGTATTAATTTACGATAAAATGTGTAGAAAGTACATAGCCTGGGGCCTGGCTCATGGTCAGGCAAGACGAATGGTAGCTGCTATTCTTATCACGTCTGTTATTGTTATTATCAACAACATATATTGAGTGTTATCCAAATATAAAAGAACGTTATTTAGGAAATGTCGTTTCCTTTGCTTTTTTTGACTCGTTGCCATGTTGTTGCTGTTTTTCCTCTTCTAGTCATTCAAGCACTTCAGAGTCCAATATGAAATGAAAAGGAAACAGATTGAACATTTAATACAACCATTACAGAGAGACGGTAAATTGTCACTTGACCAAGCATTAGTGAAACAGTCCTGGGATCGAGTGTCCTCCAGGGTGAGTTCCCCCATGATTAACTTCATGGGGCTCACGTAGTTTAGTCAAGAACATTTTCCATCATCCTTTTCTACACTGTGATGTTGCATCAGGTCTCCTGCCTCTGCCTGAGGTAGGAAAGGCTTTACTGTGGGAGAATCTTTGTCCTTTAAGTTAATGGAAGTGCTACTATAACACCTGTCCTGCCTCGGCTGCCCTACATGGGCTGTCACCATTGACCACATGACAGACTGAAATCTTGGAAGACCATGAGGGCTACTTCCCACTTTACACAAATTAACTCTGGGTTGTTTAACACTGGAGCCTTCACAACTTCTCCATTTTCCATAATCATGTTTCATCAGTAGTTAATAATATCCCCATATTCACATTCATTTTTATATTCTTTAATTTAACCTATCTTCTTATCTGGTCTTTCATGCACCTGAAGGAAAATTGCTCAGTAACTTTTGCAAACTTAAAGACCAAGATTTCAAAACCTGTGACATTTCTACCACTAATGGGGCTATTTGCCTTGAACTTCCCTATTTTCTTTGTTTCTATAATCTATTTTTGCCATAAATTTCATCAAAAACTGGCTTAGTTTCTAAGTACCTTACCCCATTCTATCTGGCATTCCATCAAGCTGGAAAAAGGTGTTTGAGAACTGACTGAAGTGGAAGACATGCAGACATGGTTCAGAATTATATAATTATAAAAAGAATCCTGAACACTTGTCTGCCTCCAGAGATGTCTAGATGACCCTGGTTTTTCCGATTCCTGGCATGTGGGGTGATCCACATGAGCTGGTGCATAAATTCCTGCATCCCTGAGCATGTCCGCACCCCAGTCCTTGTACTGCAATTTCCTCCCCATTCTCAAAGCATCAGATTGAACACAGATAATTTCTTCCTTGATATTTATTAAGTTAACCTGAAATGATTAACGTAAAGCTTTATGTAGGCTTTAAAATCATTTGGGGGAATTTTAGGAATTGCCTCTGTATTAGAGATAATTCGGTCTTTCTTCTTTTGCATTTCAGCTCTTTGATTGGCATATACAGCTGGATAAATCTCTCCCTGCGCCTCTGGGCACTATAGGTGCCTGGTTGTACAGAGCAGAGGTGGCCCTGCGGGAGGAAATAACCACTCAGCAGGTCCATGAGGAAACCGCCAACACAATACAGCGGAAGCGTGAGCAGCACAAGGTAAAAACGCTGATCAGGAGACCTTCCAGCACAGTGGTCGGCAAACTCATTAGTCAACAGAGCCAAATATCAACAGTACGATTGAAATTTCTTTTGAGAGCCAAATTTTTTAAACTTAAACTATATAGGTAGGTAATTGTTATTAACTTAATTAGGGTACTCCTAAGGCTTAGGAAGAGCCACACTCAAGGGGCCAAAGAGCCCCATGTGGCTCGCGAGCCGCAGTTTGCCGACCTTGGTTCCAGCATAATGTGGTGTGGAGATGTGGCCTGTTTAGAACTCACACTGACCGGGCTTCCCGAGCGTCCATTCCTACTGATTCAGAGATGTTGCACTGTGTATACAGCTCCGAGGCTTCGTGACTTTTAAATAACCCGGAACACAAATATTTAGTTATTGCTTTTATAGAAGTCATGATTTTTGTAGATGTCACGTAACAACAAAAAAATCCACCAAAAAATGGCGTTAGTGCTAAACTGAAACTTACTGTAGAATAAGCTGAATGGAATAAAGATTGTGCCGTGCGTACAGTGGGGCCTTGACTATGAGTTTGATTCATTCCGTGACGGAGCTCGTAACTCAAATTGCTCGTATGTCAAATAAAAAAGTGAACGAGTGAGACACGTGATGCTAGGCTGATGTTGTGGCGTTCACTGTGACGTTCTCTGCGCCAACTAGCGGTGGGGTATCTGAAGCTGGCTCGTAACCCGAATTTTAGCTCGCAACTCAAAGCAAAAAATCGGCCGAGAGACGGCTCGTATCTCGAAAAACTCGTTAGTCGGGACACTCGTAAGTCAAGGCCCCACTGTATTTGGAGTGGGCCCATTAATGGGATCAGTTTCTACAGCCACCTGCCTAGTTCCATACTATTGCATTCAGGTGGAGGCAGGCTGGTGGTTGTTTCCCCACCTGGTTACACTGTTATTCATTGGATTTTGGCTTCCAGAAAAGCCTGGGTCACGTCCATGTTGAGATTCCCAGTATATTAAAAATAGGGGGAAATGCTAAAGCAGTGTTACCCTAATAATACCACTTTAAGCAATTAGCAGTTCACCCTAAAGACAATTCCAAAATTGTTTTCATGTAAATCCTGTAACAATTAAAACAATGCTTAACCAATGTGAATATTTCATACAAAAGGAGTCCCATAGGGTTGTACCAGTAAGTGTAGAATGCCTATAGATTGCGGGTGAATGTGTCAGTTCAGCTAATACGCACCAGGGAGACTGCTGAAGGTGCCTCCAATCCAGAGGTTTGAGAAACAGCATGTGTTTGTGGTTCATTAAAAGACTTACATCTAATTGGAATGCTCCACCAAAGAGAAAATGCCCTACAATATTAACTATGCTGTTTACTAGCATGAGAGATTTAGCAGAAATCTTAATTCAGAGTATACTCTAGGCGGCATCTGCCCCTGATGGGGTATGGATTTAAATTGGATGCATGCTGTTAGTCTTCTCAGTGATTATATGATTCTTCCTGTCTCTTCTGGCTCCCTGGAGAGAGAGAGACCCTGTGCCAACCACTAAGTGTGCAGCCGGAAGCATCTCTCTGCCAAAGAGCAGTAAACAACCATGAAAACCAGAAGTGAACTGGAGTGGGGCAGAGGGGGAAGGGGAATCAGAGATGATGGTTATCTGAGACTGAAAACCAGACAGGACTAGACTGAAAGCTAGGGAGCGGGATGAGAAGACAATAGGAAGCGAGAAGAGGCAGGTAGGGGCTAAGATGAAGTTCCAGACAAGTTTCCAGAATGATCTTTTTACTGAGGTAGGAACTCACACTAGATCTGGGCATAGGTATTTGAAGTCGTAGACTCATAAAGCAATGTAATTGTCAATTAGAAGGTAAATTTTCATTCATTCAAAATATATTTATTAGGTGCCTATAGTAAGCTAAGCTTTGGTGATGTGAGAAATGTGAATCATGGTTAGGATAACTAAAATTATAGACTTTTCTCAAAAGCAGAAAAATCAGTTCATCAATTTGGTATCAGTACTCTGCTCTGCTATATTGGGCTCACTTGAAAATGCAGAAATTGAGAAAAGCACAATAGAGGACTCATCAATATGTCAGCAAGAATGTTTGAGAATATTATCTTCGCATCCCAGTCCCAAAGTAATTACGGCTCATGCCATGAAAACTTAAATATGTCCTCAAGATTTAGAATTCTTGATTTTATGCATTCATCACATTTTTAATATAACACATGACAATCTTTCATTACTTAGTATATAAGCAGTCTTTGAAAATTGAATTCAGATAAATATATTTTTTCAAGAGTTCATTTTATGTTTTGACCAATGTTTTTTTTATTATTTTTTTAAATTAACTTATATGTATGTAGAAACATGCTTATTCTGGAAAACAAGCTACACCTCTATAACCTTTTCTGTTTTTCAGATGCCCTAATACTCAGTTATCTAGAAAGCTAACAACAATAATCATAGCTAATTACACTTGAGGATTTAGCCATCTTTCAGTCCTAAGTACTTAATTTTGCTAAGCTCTTGACATTGGGGATATGAAATAGGTATTATTATTCTTATTTTGCAGGTAAGTAAAGTTTTGGCAGAGAAAGGTTATGTGCCTTGTCTCAGCATCTCACCGTCCACACAAAAAAATAGGTATTATTATTCTTATTTTGCAGGTAAGTAAACTTTGGGCAGAGAAAGGTTATGTGCCTTGTCTAAGGTCACATAGCTGATAATCCAGGTTTTTTAAGTACTAAGCTCAAAATGTGCCCACAAAACTATTGCATATTATAATATATGTAGAGTGGTTGAACCTAATTAGTTTTGATTAGCATTGCTTTGACAAAGTAAGGCTTTCCATCTTAAGGAATCATGAGAATAGTCATCAGATTCTAACCATCGTCACTATGGTTACTGACACTACCTAGATCACTTTCCTTCCTTTCTTGGACATTTTATGCTCTGGATGACAACACAAGCCATTACTTTTAATAACTTCAGTAACCTGTAGGTGATCTTCCAATATCCTAGCCTCTCCTCTGGCTGAGCGACCCTATCCTGCACCCTAACCTAGCCACTCACTGCACAGGCACAGTCTCCAGCCGTGGGCAAACTACCGCCCGTGGGCCGGATCCGGCCCTTTTGAAATGAATAAAACTAAAAAAAAAAAAGACCGTACCCTTTTATGTAATGATGTTTACTTTGAATTTATATTAGTTCACCCAAACACTCCATCCATGCTTTTGTTCCGGCCCTCCGGTCCAGTTTAAGAACCCATTGTGGCCCTCGAGTCAAAAAGTTTGCCCACCCCTGGTCTAGACCTTGTCATCACTAGTAACTGAAACCCCTCCACAGTCTGTTTCTCAGCATCTCACCGTCCACGCAAAGTCGCCCCAATCCCAAGTCTTCATTTCCTCTGTGCCCTATCCTACTGCCATTTTACTGCCCGCATCCTCCCCGTGCCATCAATTAGGTCCCTTTGTACTCTGCTAAATTCAGTTCTCAGTCATTCAGATCATCCCTTGTACACGCGCTGCCCACCTCATCCAGGTCTCACTTTGTCCTACTCCCCTGGTTAAAGCACAGCCCTGGTGAAAGCCCACGCTCCGCCTAGCTCCTGCCCACACACACGCAGCTGACTGTGGCTCAGAAAATCACCCCGGGCGCGATGACTAACCCAGGTGGGCCCTTCAGGCTGCTGGCACTCCAAAGGCATTTCCCGACTCCATTCCCTCTCCGTTCCTGGGACAACTATTTCATACCTTGTCTCCTCAAATCTTCCACACCTCCTCCCCCATCCTTACTCTTAGCTGCTGACAGGGCTTCCTATTTCTCTGGGAAAATAGAAGCAATCAAAAAAGAATTCCCGCAAGCTCCCACGACCATAGCATCCCACCTACGTGCATCTGTGCTTGGATCTCCGTCCTCACTTCTGTTACTATGGATGGACCATCTGTGCTCCGAGCGAAGGCCCACCCGCCCCACGTGCTCTAGATCCCATCCTCCCTGCTCCTCTGCAGAGGGCAGTTCCCCGAGGGCTCCCCTTCTCTATGGCTTTTCTCTCTCTTTTGCTGGATATTTCCTACCCACATAAAGTAGGCTGCTATTTCTCTCATCTTAAAAATTCTTTTTCTTTAAAAAAATAAAATAAAGAAAACATGTCTCTTTCCTAACTATACTTTCCCATCTGGCTACTGCCCATTTTTTCCTCTTTCCTTTTACAACAGCAAAGCTCTTGGAAAGCGTTGTCTATGCTTTCATTTTGGCTCCAAAACACTCTCCCCCATTCTTCCCAGAACCCATTCCAACCAAATTATCCCTAGCAATGCTGTCCATCCCAAGCAGGGATCTCCTTGATCCTCACTCAGTGGCCAATTCTCAGGCCTCATATTACCTCCCCTGTTGTTACAGAATAGGAGAGGGGCTCGTCTCCCCAGGTTGCTTGTGGGGGAGGGGTTCTTGGTACCGCTAGGATAAGCATTTCCGGAGTTCCTCATGGGAAGATGAAATATTGTAGAACCTTTATTTCTGTGGAATTACACCTCTGAGTTTTCAAGTGTCCATTTCCCTTAGTCCAGTCATAGAAGAGACTGGACTTTAGTAGCTGGGGCTTTAGTAGAGCTAAAATAAGAGTCAGTGTTCAGAGCTTCCTTTCAATGTTGGTGCCGGGTCCAGTCCAGCATCAGGCTAGTTTACCTGGTTTCCCCACTAAAGTCTGTGAATCCATTGTGTGTGGGGTTCAAATAGCTGTGGAACATAGGGGCAAATACAGGTGAATCAAAAGAGTGTACTCCAAGCAACAAAGGCAACAAGAGATAGAATTCCTTATAGGTATAGATATAGCTATAGATATAGATAGATATAGATATAGATATAGATATAGATATAGATATAGATATAGATATAGTTATAGATATATAGAGATATATAGAGATATATCTCCAAATGTTGATGAACTTGCAGTGGCCACACCCATTCTGGTCAACCATCTCTGTCCCCAGATGTGATTGACAGGCAAATACCTTTTCTATGTCACCCCAACTTTACTGGGCATGTGTCTGTCTTCTCTTTGTTGGATTTCTTCCCCTAGTGTTTTGCAGGGACTAGGCCAGTATCCCATGGGGAGTGTGAAATTGAACTTCCCAGTGAAGCTGCCCCAAATGACATGCCTATAATATCTGGCCTTCCTTTTGCTTCTTTCCTATTATTAATAACTAGAGGCCTGGTGCACAAAAATTTGTGCACTCGAGCATGGAGGGGGGGGGGAGGAATCCCTCAGCCCGGCCTGCGCCCATTCACAGTCCAGGACCCCTTGGGGGATGTCCACCTGTTGACTTAAGCCCACTCCCCGGGGGATCAGGCCTAAGCTTGCAGTCAGACATCCTCTGGCAGCCAGGGAGACCTTGGGGGATGTCCAACTAAAGGCTTAGGCCCCCAAGGGATCGGGTCTAAACCATTAGTTGGACATTCTTAGTGCTGCCACGGAGGTGGGAGAGGCTCCTGCCACCACCACTGCACTGGCCAGCCATGAGCCAGCTTCTGGCTGAGTGGCACTCCC